TTGGTTACGCGAATGTTCTTAAGTTCGCGAAATCTAGGCCCCAATATGACGAGGAAATACTGTGCTTAAATGGTATACATTATATACATAACATTAACATGACCAAAGAAAACAATGTATAAAGTGTAACAAAAAATAATCAAGTGAATGACTAGTTCAGCTACCGATACACTCTGCCTGCACAAATTAAGTCAAAATTGTTTAAGATGGCCATCCATTGTCGAGGAAAAAAGTGGCTGTCTCAGAGAGGTGTCTGTCTTTCAAAGTGTCATTATAAGGTTTTTTAAAAAGGTGAAAAACGCGAAAAGGGGGAGAGGGGGGGGGGAGGGGTAGAAAGTGGATGTTTGTACAAATGATTGTCTTACACAGGTGGCCCTCAGAGCAGGTTGGACTATCGTCAAAACATCAAGTGTTGCTGAGTTCACCCGTCATCACTGACATCATCAGTGTAACACACCCGGGCACCCTCAGCGACGTAAGCCCGCGAACCTAACATCTGATACACCTGGGAAAGAATCAAGTGCTTTGACCCAGACCTCAACAAACGAGTGTTCTCATGTCTACAGTTTTCCAATATCGTGACTTCTGTTCATCTAGGACCCATACGAAACATTTGACACCTCTGAGAACAAACAAACAATGACTGAGAGGAAACGTCATCACACCTTATAAAAGCTGAAGAAGTTTTTTTGCATAATCTTCACAAGCGCAACTAGAAAAGAGTGGACTTTCCCCCCTCAGGGACGCAGTAGGACAGACCTAACAGGAAACTTTCTTCCCATTTTGAAGAAATAAAAAAGAAAACAAACTAATTAAAGAAAGAACTTGATGAAGATGGGAACATCTTTCGAGAGACTCCTGGCTTTCGCTGTTGCTTTATGCACAGTGTTCCTGGAAAGGGCGGAAACAGGTATTGCTTTTGTTCTATCTATCTATCTATCTATCTATCTATCTATCTATCTATCTATCTATCTTATCAACTTGAACTACACTCTTGATATAAAAAGTAGCTTGTAATATGGGTTCGTTATATAGATTTCTAAAAAGAACTTATGGTTATTCGTGCGGGGTTGTTTTTTTGCGCAGACTGAGTTCAATTCCAGAGGCTGTTTTTTGTTTTCTTTTTTTACGACATGGTAGTTTTGATTCCACTCCTTTTGTAATTCAAGATTTGTTGACGGGTTTTTGTTAGCGGGTTTTTGTTAGCTTATTGTGTTTGATGTCGTCAAAACATCAAGTGTTGCTGAGTTCACCCGTCATCACTGACATCATCAGTGTAACACACCCGGACCTCCGCTCTGGTCTTTTCTTTCAGCTCATGTGCGGCATAGATATTGTCCTCAGGTGAAAGACTAGTTCAGCTACCGATACACTCTGTCTGCACAAATTAAGTCAAAATTGTTTAAGATGGCCATCCATTGTCGAAGAGAAAAGTGACTATCTCAAAGAGGTGTCTGTCTTTCATTAACGAGATTCATCATATCTTTCTTGCCTCGTTTAAATCCTCCTGATTTCTAGTAATCCAGACGTGTGCACAATTTTTTTTTCAAACCGGTGATCAACTTGGCATGGCCCTTGCAGGCTGTCTGTATTTCTTATTGTTTTGCATTTTGCACTGTGGGTAGTATCGGTACCTATATCACTTATGACAGGTGATTAGTTTTTCTTGACTAAATCCACCAAATTCGAGTGGCTGAGGAAAAAAACTTGTAAGACTTATTTGTGTTGTGTGTTGCAATGTGTAAAACTCTTTAAAGTTGATAAAACATTGAAGTCCATTTTCTATCATTCAACCATAGAAAATATAATCAATTTTTGTATAAAAGCAAGGCCCTGGAACACAAGACAACCGGATAAAGAAAAATTATATCGACTAATTAGGAAAGCATGTAAAATTTCAACATCTACATTTCCCTACTTGGATGAATTGTAAATAACAGCTTGCACTAAAAATATTAATTTCATCTTTTTAGGCAACAAACATCCCTTGGTTTCCTAAAATAAAATAAAAACATAGTCAGAAGTAAAGGACCTAGGCTTCTGGTCTGTAATAAAGAAAGATACAGAAGGTCATTTTTACCATCATCCATCAAAATTCTTCCCTCTTAACCATCTTGTATGAGTATTCATATGACCTTAGAGCATGCATCAGAATAACATTGAGTATTTATCTAGCTTAAGGTTATTATTGTTTATATTGCTGCTCATTTATATTATGCATGTGATTGTAAGCCTGAGTGCGTGTCATGTTTGTGTGTGTGTGTGTGTGTGTGTGTGTGTGTGTGTGTGTGTGTGTGTGTGTATGTGTGAGAGAGAGAGAGAGAGAGAGTGTGTGTGTGTGTACACGTGGTGAAACACCAAACCAATGTGCCAGCAATAAAGATGTATCTTATCTTATCTTATCTTATCTTTATTCGTATCTTATCTTATCTTATCTTTCTAAGACTAAAACTTTAAAACACTGAAACATTACAGTGACCGTTGGTGAAGGACGATGCTCATGGGAAGATTCCAGAAACAGAGGTAAAACATGGTGCCCGATAAGTCAAGCAAGAGCGGACATGACGTTGAAAGTGACAGTTGTTAGCGGCTGGTACTCGGCCAACTGTGTTGAGGTGAGACTTTGTCGTGCACAGCTTACTGTGTTCAGGTGAGACTGTCGTATTAAGCTTACTGTGTACAGGTGAGACTGTCTTCGTCAGGTGAGCCTCTGTCTTCGTCAGCTTAGTCTACGCGTCCACCAAAAGAAGATCGCTTCCAGGCTAGACTATTGTACGAAGTTTTTGCATGGTGTAGAACCGACTCAAAAAAGATCCACGTCCACCGCGTCATACCAGCTAAACCTTTTTTTTTTTTAGCCCATAGTGTTTTGATGTCGAGAACAACAGACAGCACAGGCACAGGCGATTTATTTATTTGTTTACATTTTCAGCCAAGGCCCCCGGAAGCTGAAGAAAATCTGCAATCGAAGAGCTAAATTTCTCTCTCTCTCTCTCTCTCTCTCTCTCTCTCTCT